TTTCAATCATTTACACTGGTCAGAATCCAGGAGAATTTTAAGCACTGACTCATCATACACCAACTAATATTTTCACAGTGGGATACATTGCATTACCTGAACACACTGATCATCCTTGTTACAAGTATAACTTATTTTTTTGCCTTAACCAGATCCTCCTTATTCCCGATCTCCATCTTGGATGCCTGTGGCTTACATATTATGCAGACATTTGCTGAGCAGAGTCAATAAAGTCTTTCTGATGATTCAGACCAAGGACACCAGCCTAAACGAAGTACGAGGATATTATTAAATAGCCATGTAAATGAAATGGAAATGGAAATTAGGTTCTTGAAACGTTGGCCAATACATTTTCTAAGTGAAAATTGAGGTCTTCATAATTTCTTCAGATCCTTAGGCATTAAAGAAAGAGTCCTAATGCCATTAAGAGTTTGAAGTCCGATTGTCTTTCAGAAGGCATTCAGCTTCTCGGCAAGATTTGACCTTATCTCTGTTTATGCAGAAACAGTCAGACTATTAAGGAAAATTGCTAGCTTAAAAGATTTTAAAAACACACTTCAGTTAAAACAGAATCTGGATAGGGCACAGTAGAATAATTTAAAAAGCAAAATAGTAAATCATTCAATTTACTCGGATGCAATGCATTTATTGTATTTATTTTGAGGAATATGTGTTCAAATGCACATAGTACTTGCTAAATGCATATTGGGTAACTATGGTTTGTAGGTACAGGCTTGGAAAACTGGAACTGGAGGGGGAACTACTATAAAACATCATATATATCTCTTCTTCCTTAGTAATTTTTGCTGTCTGCAGACTTTTTCGTGTTGGTCAATATAAGTAAAAACACCATGTAAGATGTACACTGTGTAAATATAGAGAAATCCCTTCCTCCAAAATGGAGGTGGAAGTGAGTTAAAATCTCTTAAATGAAGGCATGACATATGTAACATCCGTATCTTTCTGGTCTAAGAGCTTAAGAAAAGGGAGGTGTTACTATATGTAACATTCTAAAGATATACATCCCATCTAAGTCTCACTCTTTGGTTTTCACTGCTTTACAGTCAGAAAAATGTGTGTGCTATATGGATACTTAAGCTATGCACTCTACATAGCACACCATTTAAAAGCAAAACAAAACAAAAATAGCAGCAATTGAGAGGGAGCCCTTATGGTGAGGTTTGATATTTGTGATTGGAATGACTTTGTTGTTCATGTCAGCAGTGACTACAGTATGTTTGACATCAATAGGTAGGAACTCAGCATGTGCAAAGTTAACAATTTCAAACTGCTGTTCCATAAATATTTCATTCTCTCTGAGTTAGCAGGCCTTCCATGAAAAATGCGCTAATATAAACACATTTTTTTTTCTTGAACGTTATAACACATCTGTCGGCTATTCCAGCTGTAAGTACAAGAGATGGAAATATTTTCCATGTAGGTATCCAAACTGGGGCTGTGAGAGATGCAAATCATTCTCAAAAGGCTGGGCCTATGTCTTCATCTCTAATAAGGAAACCTATTATAGAAACATATGCAAGATATTTTTTTTCCAGTATGAAGCTTTATTGTGAATACCTTCCCACAAAAAGATGTCCAAATGGCCCTCCATTCCTTCCTCTCCTCTCTTGCTAGTTATTCCCCTGTCTTGCCCATTCATCATGTCCTGCATTAGTATGAAGAGGGGTGCATCTAGGGCTTCTCCGTGCAAATCCTGAGGAACCCAAGGCCCTTTTCAGGTGGAAGAGCTGGTAGGTACAGGCCTTTCATGTTAAGTTTAAACACTTGGCGATCAGCAGTTATGGACACTGGATACCACTGGTTTTTTGAAGTGTTTGGACTAAACACACGAAGAGGATAATTTGAACATCTTTACCAATACATCTTTTAGGCCTAGGCAAAGTAGCCATGCTTCATCTCCAACATGGTGCTTTGCATCTCAGTCAGCATACAATTTATTTTATCAAAGCGAGAAGAGTCAGAACAGTCTTCTTTGCACATACCAGAGAAGGCAGTTGGCACAGTGTAAATAAATGTAGCAGCTTCATTTTTTAAAAGTGGGGGGTACCTTGCTTTAGGAAGCAACTTCAAAGGATGATTTGCAGGAACCTGCACTTAAGCAAAACATTCTTTAGAGCAGTGGTTCTTAAACTGACTCAATTATCCCCTTTTGCCAGTCTCAAATAATATCATTACCCCCCTCCCCAAAAAAACAGACTTTGTCGACTCACAAACGAGCAATTACAAATTGCTCTGTTACCCCCGGGATATGCCCAAAGTATCCCATTGGGAGTAATTACCGGCAGTTTAAGAACCACGACTTTAGAGGCATTGTGTACATGTAATAGGTACACCCTCTTTGTCATCTTAGTCTGTTCTTGTACCGAAGGTCAAGGAGACAGATAGACAGACTTTGGTCAATGAAGGGAAGAATTTGCATTTTTCCATATCATAAATGGACGTGTGCCTGGAAAGAAGGCTTTAAATAAGACTTAGATTTTCAGAAAATATTTTTTATAACTTAGTAGTATTGCCACCAAGGCAATATGTGATACCATTCTGAGAAATGTGAGGTATTTGGCACAATCTGCTCCTGCAACATCTGTGCCTCTGCTTCTCACTCATCATGTCTGTGCTAGTGTGTGACACAGGCATTGATGAGGATAGTAACTGAGGCTATTCATACTCACTTCTCATACTGCTATTTCAGCAGTGTCTGTAGAGAGGGCTCAACATCCGCAAAAGTGCAGGTATGGCATTGCGATCCAAACTTTGCCCCTTTTTATATGTACATTAGCATTGCGTACATGTGCAAAAGGAGCAGGCTTCGATCCCTTTGCTGCACTTTGATCCCTTTGCTGCACTTGCCAGATCCCCTTTGAAGATTTGGACACATGCACATGAATGCCCCGTGTGCTGCCCAGTTGTCTTTTGCATTGCATAGACAGGAAAGAGTCGTTGGCAAGATGAGATTAGGTTCCTGCATTGGACTTATGGCGTGCTTGTGAATTCTTACCAAAAATGCAGAACTAGGCTTTGCCTGTGGCTTTGGAAACTGATTCACCTTATTTGTGCTTTTCTGATGCAATCATGACATTTTTCATACAGAAATAGACTTAATGGAACACGTGTGCATTGGAAATCCTATAATTATCCTAAAACAAGAAGAATGAGATAAAATACGTTAGGGAGAAGTATACAAAATTATCTCTGGGTATTTTGGCATAAATGTATCTCAATTTTTCATTTTCATCAGTAATTCCCAGAGATTGCAAAGTATCATCAGCTGCTGAAAATGCAAATAATTATCAAAGCAAAAAAACGAATACTCATGGTGAAAATGCTGCAAGAATTCTTTCCAAGTGGAATATTTTCTACCCAAATATTTTATGCTGGGGGAAAAATCAGTATGTGTATGGGCGTGTATGTGTGTGAGAAAGAGCAACCGATCAAATTTCCTTCCACTTATTTGGAAAAAAATGAAATAACGTTTTTCAGCAAGAAATTCTGGAATGCAGAAATAGCCTTTTCATTCCTGCAAGTTTAGAAGGAAAACAAAATTAGAAGGGATACAGCCTTTCTTATTGCCTAGGAAATCCATTTTGTTTGACCCTAAAAAATGTCCTCTTAAAGGAGATGAGCCAAAATCAAATGATTCACACTTCTGAATAATGGCTACAAATAAATTATATATTAAAGAATTACAAGACCTTCATCTTGTCTCAGCAAAACACTTAAAACAAGTAAGAAAGAGATAATTATTACAAATGATAAAATATTAAAAGAATGTGCAATATTTTCAAGCAGAGAGAATGGCTTCACTTCTTGGAATAGTAAATAAAATCTTAGCACAATACAGCAACTTTCTTAGTGCAAAGCCATTATTGGGACATTTTCAATAAAGTGAGAGGCATATACAGCAAAACAAATCCTTAGAATCTAATGATGTAACTAAACGTGGCCGTTTTTGTAACATTTTGAGAAGTCCAATTTTCTTCCTGCCAAAATGTCCTTTTGTAATTCATCCTTAGGAGGGTCAGTGTAGTTTTTACAATAGTTACTATGAATATATTGTTTAGTCTTCGAAAAAAAGTTATTCAGCATGTAATTGCACTTAATTCTTAACATTTGTACTTCTTGTCCTCCACACTTGGCAGATGTTCTTCCCTGGTCCAGTTTTTATTTGTCTTGTTCCCATAATTTAACTTTCTGGATAGGCTAATAAGGAGCCTAATAATGTGGGAAATATTTGTGGACCAAAAACTTGCGATTAATTTTCAACCCCTTCTGGAAAGCTCTCAGTGTCTCAACAGCTTTTTCAAAACTGACACTTGTCTAAAATATTCATTAGTAACAGGGTCAGCTGGGATACATTTAAAGCACACAACATTTTCATGCCATCCCACAAAATAAATATGTGTATTTCACAATTCTTGACCAGGAAAAAAAAGCAATGAATTCAGCCCAGAGAAACATCACTGAGGCCTGACTGAGATGTTTACAAGGCTGGTGGTACAATCAACACAGAAAAGGAGAAGGACATATGTGCTTTTGTCCTTTAAATTCAACCAAAATTGTACAGGGCAGGCACCATTTAGAGTCCTATATGAAATGGGGCATGTTTTTTCCTCTCCAAAAGAAGAGAGCAAAAAATCGCCTAACTCAAATATTTATTCTTACAGTTGCCACATAGAGTGCCTACCTCACCAATGAATGCAGGTAAAAATTGAGAGAGGGAGAGAGGTGGTCTTGCTCTTCCAAGCTTCAAACTATATTACAGAGCATGTGGTTTGCCATGGCTAGTAGAACTGATGAAATCCTTGAACAATAGAACATCAATATTGGAAGGAGCCGGCCTAGCTAATGATAATACATTATTATTGTTGTTGTTGATACTGTTATTTCATTATTCAAAATTGAGGGAGAAAGGCATGTAGTTGGTCATCATAAATAAACCCTTCTCATTATTGAATGGTTGGCAGAACATTGCATTTATTCTCATGCATGTTTTACATCCATGATTTGCCATACTTATCACAGTCAGCAACCAATCTTCGACTCCATATTCGTCTAAAACCTTCTATAATTCAAGCTACTCATGATATCATATACTTTCTTTAAATCAACAAACATACCCTAAATGTTTTTTATCATCCTCATACGTTTCCCAGTGATCTGCTGAAGAAAAAGTCAGATCTGTGTACCTTTTGCCAGGCATAAAATCTCAAGGCATTTCCCAAATTTTGCTCATTGTCAGCTTCTGTACTCTTTCAATCAGAACCGTGCCATTTCTCATACTCAATTGTGGGCCGTTCTGTTACTCTGCGGAGACAAGGTTTGTAATTATGAGAATTGTTCCTGAGTCCATGAAAAATTGACAGATGGGGGTCAGGTTTTGCTCTCCACACCAAATCGGCCCTATTTTTTCTAACAACAGTACATATGCTCTTTATTCAGACTGTGTAACAGTTTAGCCAGGACAAATATGGCTTTGGGCAGATTATCCTAACTGAAAGAAGCTCCTTGGGATAATCCTGGGCTGGCAAGCTGATTCTGGCCGGCTGCTGTTGTGGTATAGCAGTCCCAGTGCCATTGCAGAAGCCAAGAGAACAGGAGAAACATTTCTCCAGGATAATACTGACCTCCTCATCCTGCCCATATCCCATTATTGGGAATGTTGTTGCTCACTCTGATGCTGGTGCCAGAGCAGAGAAACATAAATTGAAGACGCAATGAAATACGGGATGGTTGGCTAGCAGGATGTCTTATAGAAGCTGGCCATGAGGTGTCAGAAAGCACAGCGTATTCCAGGATTTGCATGGTGACTGGTTGTCGAAAAGTGAAATCAAGAATATCTCTTCTCAAACCATTTATTGCTAGGGCTTTTCTGCTACAGAACAGAATTTTTATTTTCAATGTTGCACTATATCTAATCCAGGCAGAATCATTGTGAATCTATATTCAGCTCCTCATACTCTGAAAGGGTGGGAGGACCAGACTTTGACAGACATCCAGAAAAGCAAATAGGAATGTCTTTTGTGGAAAATGTACCTGTGACTTCCACGAGTGAAAATCATGATGTAAAAGGACACATGGGGGCTGTCTAAAATCGTTTGTTTGCTTTTTTTTCTAGTGGCAAACAGAGCAGTGAATACTTTCTCACTTGTTTTTACTGGAATGCATTTTGTCATTTGTGGGAAGGGCAGTTCAGGAAACTGGCAGATAGTTAATTGTCATTATTTGGATGTATGTCTTAATTTGGACATAGGGAAAGATTATTCCTACAGTGACAGCCATGGTTTTAGCCAGAATTACTAATGTCTTGTTTCAGTTGAACCTTTAGGGTTTGAGAGACAGATCAATGCATGTTTGATATCTGTGCAGAGGAGCAAAAAAATAAAATAAAGGTTTGCACCAGCAATCTCTCATTCATTATTTGGGTGTAGGTTTGGGTTTAAGTTCAGAAAGATTGGAGCCATGGTACCAAACATGGATTTCATCCCAATTAAAATGTTTTGTTTGAGTTGATAACTTTAGGTCTTGAGCAGCAGAAAAAAAGAATATTGTAGGGGAGGGGGGGAAAAAAGGAATTTTTGTGCTATGTTATCTAAGCAGATTAATCAAGCTGTGTTCCTAGTCTTAATCATGGAATGTTGGAAGGTATGGTAAACTTTTTTTTTCCTTTTTCTGGTTTATGTTTATCTCCAAAGTGCTGTATCAACTGAAATTATTTCTCAGTGAAGGGCCCTACAAGTACGTGGATCAACTGTACTCCTTAAATAAACAGTGTGCTTCTGCAACTATCACCTGAGGGCACATGGCATATTTTCCAACTTATATTCCAGGATCTGTTTTCAGTTTTCTCCAAGACATGGGATGATGATGATTTGCAACTTTAGGGAGGACTTCTGAATTAACTCTGATTTTTTATGAAAATTCATTGTTACATTCTACTTTATTCTCTTTATGAGTAACAGTAACAGATTACTTACTCAAATAAGACATGTGTTTAATATTTTAAGTTCATAGATACTCAATATTCCTGTTCCTTTGGGCAGCTTCAGTCAGAATATTATTCCTGTTCCTTTTTCATTAAAAAAATCTTCCAAGGAAGACCATCTTACTGTTCTGCCACTTTTCTCACCTAAAAAACATAAACGAAATCCTGTTGATTAGCATGAATTTGGTGGGATTGACTCTCATAATTATGCTAAACGCTGCTGTCTTGTTATATTTTTCAGCTCCATTCATTAATTGTACTCCTGAGGCAAGAAGCCTTGAACAAATTGAATTGTGTTTCTGCCCTTATTTTATTTCTTTAATTTTCAAGCTGAGAGAGTGATGTAGAAGAACTATCATGACTAGTGACCATAACAAAGCAAACCTTTCTGGTTACATTCAAGTATCAAACTAATACAAATGCAAGTCCTATGCATGATTATATCTTGATTTCATGTTGTAGGGGAGGGAACTTGTGATTCAGTAAATGTTAGCATTTAGTTTGGTTGTGTTCTTATAGCTAAGCATGGTACAAGACCTATTTTCCCCCACAAGCGCCCTTTGAGGTAGATTGGGCTGAGGGAGAGAGAGAGACACTGGCTTGAAGTAACTCAGTGAGCTTTCATGGCAGAGGATGGACTAGAATCTGGGGCTCCCTTTCCTCATTCAACATTTTAACCACTACACTACACTGCTTCTCATGTTACTGAAATGAAGAGCATGGCCAATATTATGGGATGTGGAAAATTGTAGGAGGTCCAAAGGTTGCTGCCTATGACAGGTGGAGTACTTTTATAAAAAATAGGTTGCCACAGAACAGTAGTGGAGAAATATCATTCATACTGAAATCTCAGAAGCCAAAGAAAGTTCAGCACGATTTCCAGGATCTGAAAAAATTCCAGAGACTTATGTAGGTCCTTACCCTTCTGGCAAAACTAGAATTAAACTATTTAAAGTTGTAAAAATAGCAGCATATTTTGTTTGTTGTTTAATATACATAATTGATGTTTTGTGATTCCACAAAGCTCCATTACCCTCCCTCAAAGCAGTTACAGACTGCAATAAGAATAAGGGGAAGAACTCCAAAATAAAAGCAATTAGTTTATAGCAATCAGCCACAATAAATTAAGTCTCTCTGATTGATGACATGCATATCAGCTGGCAGACATTGGACCAACTCAGGGAGGCAGAGTGTGGAACAGAAACTCTCCAGAAGGTTTTAATAAGTGGATGATAGAGGTGCTGATTGAATAACAAAGAAGCCATATGTTCTGAAAAACAGACTCTTAGACCACTCTGGCTCCACCTTGTAAGAGCAGCTGTACCTTCCAAACATTATGGAAAGGCAGCTCATAGTAGAGACCATTGTAGTAGTCCAACCTGGGCATTAACCAGAGCATGCATGTTATCGAATTTGCAACATACGAAAATTATTTTTGTACTTGCTTGATCTGCCAATCTACCCAGGTTCCAGGATTTAATTACTCTTAAAAGTAATTAACATCAGTACAGACCCCCTTATGGTCTTAGAATTAAATGAAATGGTAGATTTATAGTATTTCAGAAAAAAAGATCATTGCAGGCTTTTCTTTTAATATTAGTGCTGTATTAGAAGAGGTCAAATTATAAGATTTGACCAAGATGTCTTGCTTTCCCAAGCGGCAGGCAGAGCAAAGTTTTATTAACAACTAGTACCTTGTTCTTTTTAAAGAATTTTTGAGTATAGAGATTCTATTGAGCCTGTTCCTCCTCTCCTTTCATGCTGGATCATATCGACTCTGACATGTAAATCATAAACCTCAAGGCTTTCCTTCAGAAGGTTGTGTAGGGATAACTAACATTCCAGATCAATTGACTTTCATTAGAGGGGTGTGTGTGGCTTTTATTTCAGTCCTAAATAGAAATGCTGCCTTTTTATTTTATTTTTTTTCATTTGGGCCTCAGACTAGAGCAACTAAAAATGGCCAAACCACATGACTTCCAAACCACATGTTTCTAAAGTATTTCAGCTACAGTTTCAAGACTCTCCAAGAAAGTGAATATACAGAAGACAATTGCAATATGCCAGCCTGATGTAATGAATAAATGTTGGCACTTGCTCAAATCATGGAACTTATTTGTTAACTTCAGCCAGTCATTGACTTACCATCTAGAAGGCTGAAGAGATATAATGATGGGAACTTAATCTCACACATGCCCATTTAAGCTCTATGGGGAGAGAGTCAAATAAAAATATTTAGAACGATGGATGGATGGATGGACAGACAGATACTATCTGGACATTTTTGCTACTAACATTTACAGCCCCAAAATGGAAAGTATAGAGCTTTTTTTCGTTAGTTAAGAACTCCAGAATGGTCTGTTGACCCAAATTTTATTTCTTAGGTCACAAAACCTAAAGGAGATTGAAGAGAATCAGGACAAGACAACTCTATGTTAGCAGCTCCTTCTATTGTTCCAATCAAAGCTTAGTTTTACTAAGGATCACTAGTAAGAAAAGGGGAATAAAAGTGATAGCCATCCAGACTGTAGGACCCAGAAAAAGCGCTGATATAGAAGTGAACAAAATGATTAGTGTGGCTTTCTTGTTTAAGGCTGGAGAAGGCAGGGATTGCTTTGGAGGTGATCCACATATAATACTTTGAAGTAGGATTAAAAAAGAAAAGATACCTGAATCTATTCCACCAGGACAAGACTGTAGGCATTAGGAAGGCTAGGGGACATATTTTGGCACAAAAATGGGTTCTTCCTGAATCAGAATGGAAAAGGAATACTAATGTATAACATCAGAAGGATGGCAGAACAGCTTTCAAAATAGAGGGAAGAGTTTCCAGTTGGTGATCATTTATCTCTATAGTCAAAAAAATAGGGGGTTATCTCCCAAATAGGGGCAATAGGTAAATATGCACCATGAGCTGTTGTTTAGTGGGGTAAATGTAAAGCCCACTAATACTTGGAATGGATACCACATACTGGGGTTTCTTTGCAAATGCTAGAAACCTCTGAGCTAAAATGAGAAAATTAGGGGGCTTAACTTTAAAGGAAACCTGGAAGAAAGAAGAAAACTAGGAATGTGTGATCATTTCTAGATCCAAAATAGCTATGAATAACCAGGAATAATGGACTGATTTATCTCTGTAAAAGTTGAAAGTGTGGACTTTCTATAGCCTTCTTGTTAACTAATAGCTAGAAGAAATGTTTCACTAGGTAGTTCTGTATGACCAGCATTTCTAGACCATAGTTCTTCCTTTTCTGATTATTTTCTGGAATATAATACTATGGGCTCAAGCACTGACAATAATTTGTGTTTTTATCAAACCTATTTTAGTGCTCAGTTACAATAAAGTTCATAATTCATGTGAATATTTTCTTGATTGATCAATCATTTTATCTCCTTTTGAGAACAATTTTGAATTAGGCACTGGATTATTCATACACAGAAAAAACTGAAATTTGTTCCAAAATAGTCATTAACTCTTGACCTAACACAATACTGTTCTTTTTTATTTGTGGAGTTTGTACAGCCCAGGGCTATAAGAAGCTATTTTAAGCTTGAACAATTTTCAATTCATAATTAGCTAAAATTATTCCCATTTCCTGAATATATTTTCAGTGCCTAGATGGATTTTTTTTTTTAACTTGTCTTGAGAAAGAGAACTGTAGACGAAATAGTGCTGCAGTGCCTAAGACTGTGGTATACATTCTTATGGAAAAGACAATCAACTATAGTAATCAGCACAAATAGTGCATTAATAGCTCAACCTCTTCGAGATAAAACCAGGAAAATGGGAGACGTATTTTTAAGCATATTTTTTTTCAGATGGAATGGGATGGCAGTGTAGACGTCAAGTTGTTGCCAAGAACAGCAATCCCATTTCTTGCTCCTCTACTGTAATTAAGCACACTCAAGATATGATTATTCTATTGTGTGGCAACTCCCTCTGTTCCCTTCTTTTATTAATAAGTTAATAAAATGAAAGGCAGGAAATCTTGCAGCAGGTGACATCATATCATGTATTGAGAATCGCTAGGTCACTATTTTATTTTATTTTGTTTTGTTTTGTTTTATTATTTTATTTTTCTGTTGGTTAACAATCAATAAAATGCAAAATACAAAGAGATAAAGATTCAAAGATATAAATTGCAATAAGTGAAGATGCTAATTAACAATTAAATCCTGCTGAAAAAAGTTTGCCTTGGCTGTTCTTCTAAGAAAAGACAGAGGAGGTGCCAAATACTATTCTTGAGGGAACGGAAACCACAGCCTGGGAGTGACACAGGAGAAGGCCCACCCCTGTGCCAGGTAACTGAACCTCTGACACTGGCAGCATTTTCAGAGGGCCTTCCTTGCAAATCTTAATAGATGTACAGGTTATAACAGAAAAGGCAGTCCTGAAACAGTCATATCCTGAACCACTTGGGTTTTGAATGGGCAACATCAACACTTGAAACCGGGTCTGGTAAGCAATTTCCAACTAGTGTAGATCTTTTAATGAAGGCATCGTAGGATACCTGTTTCTCATATTGGTTAGCAGCTGAGATGCCAAATTTTGGATCAACTGCAACTTCTGGACATCTCTCAGGGGTAGTTTGAATAATCAATACATGGTGTAACTATGTGATAACTGTTGTCAACTCTGGAATATCTGTAGTGGGACATTATCCATAACAGTACAAATTTGTCCTTTGCTACAATTGCTACCTATGAACTCAATGACAGCTGAGGCTCAAGGAGTACCCCAAGAGACCTGCTTTTTCAGAAAGGATGCAAAGGGGCTGAACTTCAGCCTACAAGAGGATTTTCTTTTTGATCAGTATCATCTCTGGCTTGAATGCCAGCTCCATCACCAACTCATTACTCAATTTAAGCAACAATCAGGAGCACTGATTGTCTGGAAAGCCTTGGGAATAATGTTTTGCAGTAGTTCTGGGCCTTCCTTCAGCTGCCAAATTACACACAGAAGATAAATATTGTCAGAAAATAATAGTAGTAATCAGTAAATAAGTAAGTAAATAGTTTATTGAATAAGATTATTTCAAGTAATAGTAATCACAATAATATAAAATGCAAATAGTTAATTTTAAAAGTTGCATTTCTATCCGTTCTTCCCTAACATTTTTATATGCAATTGCATTTTTCGTGCCTAAATCAGACTGAGTAGCTATGGTAGAAGGTTTAAAAAATATTTCAAATAAAACAGGATACTTTCCATGTTTTCTACCTGGAATCCTGCCTTGCAGCTCTGGAGTGCACAAAAGTTCCATTGAAATGAATAAGCCTATTCATGCCCTATGTGGCCTGTCAAAAAGGACTCTCAGTCCCTTTTGCATGCCTCTTACAACAAGCGTCAGTTTAATGGAGTGAGAGAGCTGGTTTTGCTTTATTATATATTTATTTGCACAGTCATTCATTCCATTGTTAGGAAGCTTTCATCTCTTGTTAATCGTTCCCTTTCTGAGCTTTTTTGTGCTGTTTCCTCATTGATTATTACTATAGCATATTTTCCATGGTGAATTAAACAAAGAAAATTCTTTCCTCTTGTAATGAAAAGAGACAGTTTCCTTGCTCATATTATTGCTCAAAGTGCATTGTAGGTCTTGCATGCACTCTATTTCCACTATTAACATCCAAAATGCAATAGATCCTAAAGCATGGGATGGAAATAACTAGATGATCAGTCTCCTCTGGAAGGCTGAACTGCAAATGAATGATCCACAGAAAATGATGCAAGGGAAGGAATTAACTGGAATATATGCATGCATACAATCCCCAGGGACAGGCATAGATGTAGATTGGAGAAGGTTGGTTTCTCTAGCTAAAAAAATCTCAACAAGCATGAATGGATCATCCAATGAGATGACTATTATCTTATGAAACCACTACTAGGTAGGGTAGATCACTTTAGAATAGAAGGATTACAGTGCAATCCCAATCACTCTCATGCACAGGAGAAATGAGGGTAACGTTCTGCACTGAGATACAGTGTATAGATATATTTCCACTGGATATTTGTATACTTGTACATGACGTCTCCAGATGTGATAGGCTGTAAGTACCTCTAGAATGGAATCTAGGACTCCCTAAGAATTTTATTTTCTATAATATGGGCTGTGCATGGATTCAGGAAACATTTACTTTAACCTATGCTACACAATATTTGTGAAGTAGCTGAAGTAATTTGGGTCTTTTCTTAGCAATTCTCCATCCATGGAACTCTCTTTCCAGACAGAAGAGAGAGCTAAGTCGTTGAAAACTATTATACTCATTGACTGCAGTCTTTAGTTTTTAAAAAATCTGTTAAAGAACTTCATTTTGCTCCCATAAAATCATAAAGTAACTGTGACTTGTAAAGATTCTTATAGTTTATTAATAGTGTGTTCCTTCAGTTCACGTTTCTAATAAGCTTCTGTACATTCAAGGTCAAATATCAACAACCGATTTGATATTTTGTACCAAATAAGCAGAAAGTGGGCATTATTAGCTCCTTACTTACCAGGAAACAAATTCATCTGAGCAATTTGAAATGAAGTACATCATCTGTGAACTCACATCCCCTTAGTCTCAGTCTGATTCTGGAGGCACTGCAGCTTTCGCCATCGTCATCATCATCATCTTCATCATGGAGATTAAGTATCTTCCTAACAGCAGGAGTTATTCAACAATAGAACCAATTGCTAAGAGGGACACTAGTTCGATAGCCTTCTATCAGGGATTCTTAAATTTAGATTCCTGGAGGAGACTGGACTTCAAGGCTTAAATGCCCCCTTTCAACTCTTATGATACTATGAGAGCCTATTTATGAAATTCCCTTATCATTCTTAATTGCCCCAAGAGAATGACCAGCAGATAATCTGTGATGCAAATGCAATAACTTGGCTTTAAGCTGGCTTGCTTACTAAAATCTTAAAACATGTATTCCAAGATTAAGAGCTTGATTCAAAAACTGATTTTAGGTCAAACTTCGTCTTTTCAAGCACACTAAAATATGTTGATGTAAGTGAACTAGGATGTAAGGCCAACATTGGTTTGCAAAAGCAGCAGGCAGGTACTAGGTAGGAGATCAATAGGCAATTTTCAAATGCATCATCTTCATCCAAAGCAAAGGAACCCCACATACTTTTTCAGCATTAATTGTCCATGGGCAGATGAGGAAGATGCAGCAGAGATCTGCCATTGGTGCAGGAAAGGAAGAACAATATGGTACGTAAAATGCCGATAGGAGTCAAAATGCTATGTGATGTAGCTATTCTAAAAACACAGTCCTTCTTCATAAAATATTTCCCAAATATCTCCCAAAGAACTAAAAGGCAAACAATTCAGCCCTTTCCTTTTTACATCTTGCTTGGAATCTGGTAAATAGTGCCATTTTTTCCTGTCTAGTTTCAATATCTGAATGACAATATTTAACATGCTGAGTGTGTCCATATTCTGTGGTGTATTTGCTTTTTTCTACCCCAAAGAGCCGCTTGATATATTGCATTCCAGTCTACAGAAGTAATATTTTCCTTTCCATCCCCCCCAATAAATAAATGGGAGAGAGAAGTAAGTTACCAAAATGGGAACATATTTGCAAATCAGAGTTCACATTAGAACAGAGTCCTCCTAGCTGCAAAGAAACAGTGTGCTGATTTTCAAAAGTTTGTTTCCATTCAAGAATTCCAACCTTTCATTGGGCAAAACCTCCTGGGAATAGCTTTTCCCGGTCTGCATTCCAGTAGCTTTTTTATTTCCTGCAGCTATGTCAAAAGCGGTAATAGCATATTGCAGGAATGGAACAGGTTATTTGTGTGTGACTATTTTTTGTTGTTGTTGAAGAGACACATACTGTACATACACCCACGCACTTATACATACATACCGTGTCTTTATATGGTTATTTGTCTACCATCATACGCTTTGCTTCTTTGCAGAAATGATTGCAAGCACTCAAAAAGATGTCATCTGCTAATTTCTCTCTGGCATGTTCATCCCACAGAGGCAAGGTGAACTCAGCAATGAGAACGTTACAGATTCTTTTCAAAAAATGTATCTTCGATCATGCCTAAATCAAAGGAACTCAAGTGCAAATATTTACAGAACTCTTAGTTTGGTTGCAGCCTCTTTTGGATTAGTGTCAGCTCAGGCATTTTGCATTATACTGTGCCTATTTTCCCACCTCTGAAGAAAAAATCTCAATTTTTCTTTCACCTGTTTTGCTACCAGACCTTGAGCTTGATTAGCCAGCATTTCCTAAGGAATGGCCTGGGTGGAGGAAAGCATTATTTAGACAAGAGGCAGCAAATTGCTCTTGTCAAAACACAGACACTGGAATTGCAGTGAACCAAAGAAGGAGGCATTCTTTAAAATATATATTTTAAAGTAAATGCAATGTTTGGATGGACTTTTATTTGTGTGAAAAGTAAAAAGGGAAATATAAATATACAAGGTGACCAAAGACTGAACTTCAGTGACTGAACTTTTTAAACATATTCAACATCTCTTAAGAGATTTGGGGTTATGCTACCACAAGCAACATAATGTGTTCTTTGTTGAATGATTCCTGAATGAAAATCTACTTACTCTACTGAGAAAATTATAATACACTATCAAATGGGAACACCAGATGTTATGATAAAAAGGAAGTCATTAGATGAACACTGAATGCTGAGGATATGGCAACTAATTTAGCATTAGAGAGGCAATAGGGGCTAAAACGTGGTGGGAAACCTGTTTATTTAGAGCTGCCACAGCTAATCTTGTGCTGGGGGAGTGGGCGAAACCTGCTAGTTTGAGATGTTTGGGGACTATGAACTGCATTATCACTGTTTAGCCATTAGCTGTAATGGCTGAATCCATTGGGAACTGGAAGCCAAGAACATCTGAAGAGACACATGTTCCTCACCCTTGACCTGGGCAAAATGCTAGCTATAAGCCTTAGATTTCCATTTGAAAGATGCAGGTAATAAGACGAACGGTTTCTAGAAAAGATATGATTGGTACATATTCCAAGAGAAGTACAGTATTAAAATGGAGATGGATTGCACTAAAGAGCCAGGAGAGTTATTTTGTAATACTGTAGAGATGTGAAGTGTACTTTCAAATGTTTCTTCTTTAAAGTTATAACTATGCTCTGAACAATCAATTGTTCAGAAGCAATGTATAGCCCCATATAAACCAATTTTAGACTAGTGACAAAATGACTTCTTTTTGTAAGAGAAATCTGGTACAAAGAACTGCAATATACTCACGTTTCCCAGGGTTGTGCCAAATAGTGTCTCAGCCTGTAAAGCATAATTCAACTTTAATTGAATTTTTTAATCTGAAAAATATTGAGTGGTGTTGCTGTTTTTTCCTGATCACTGTAACTCCTATTCCTGAGAGCTTCCCATACTGCAGAGTTGTCCTTTTCAGTTATATGGTCTTATTATTTAAATGATATTGTACATTTCCAAATTGCTGTGAACAAAACTAGGATCGGGGTAAAGGGATATTAACGGACCATTTTTTTTTTTTTTATCCTCACTCAATCGTTACCGATTCTGTGGTGACTGCCTGGACGAGTCCCTGCAGTTTTCAAGGCAAGGTTTCAAGGCAAGGTGTTTCGGAAGTGGTTTACCATGGCCTCCTTCCTAGAGCAGAGCCCAGCTGACGAGCGCAGGAGGCGGAGTTTCCGTTGCTTCACGCCTTTTTCAGACATATGCGACTTCCACGTTACCGGCAACTTGGTCCCATCTCCCATGCAAGCGCCGCCAGCATTTTTCCTCCCACCAGGGTGAGAGTCCCCATTTATCTACTCACA